ACCTATAAAATATAGTCTAGTGATACTACATTACCTGCTACATTACATTGACTATATGAGTTTTATTTAAAAGGCCGATATTATGGAAAACTGATTTTTTTTTTTTTTTTAAATAAGGTGGCTTTAGAGAAAATCACAGCACCATCTCTGCAACCACACTGGTTTAAACTAAGCTCCAAAAAGATCCTGCCTTAAATTCATTGTTATTGTGACGTCACAACAATCAGCACATTTACATACATCCACCTGTTCAGCCTACAGCAGTTCAGCCCCGCCCACTCACACTGAAGGTATAAGGAGTGTTTCAAACCAGACTGCTTTTTGAATGGGCAGCTGATCAGAATAGAGCTCATTTACATATATCAGTCTTAAAGGAACAGAAATAAAAACGTCCTGTTTAGTAAACAGATAAACAGAGGCTGGAAAATAAAATGAATTATGACTTTTTATATAAAAAAAAACACACAAATGTTAAAAGTGGAAAAAATAAAGTGCAAGAAAAATGTAGGATATGAGCTCTTTAACGCTGTGAGATCCTTCCAAAGTTATCACAGGCCTACAGCTCCTCCTCTTTTCCCATTGAGGAAGGAAAAGAGGGACGAGAAACTGCTGGAGAGTCTCTTTCACAGCTCACAGTTTATGGACAGAACTGAACAGAAGCTTCACAAACTTCTCTAAACAAACACCACACAGTCAGATCCAGACCCTCACACTGCACACAGTTATATAGTTATATAACACACTGATACACAGATAAACAGGATCATAAATCAGCTACTGAGATTAAACAACAACAGAGAGATAAACATACAGATATAGTTGAGTGTTTGTGAGTAGCTGTCACTCTTATCATGACAGTCTCTGCTAACAGTGACAGGATATTAAAAAATAATGCACAAAACTTTCCACAAAGAACGTAATGGTACTTGAGCACATCTGCTGAATGTATCTAGAACCCTTTAAAAGAGGATTAAAGCACAGATGGCTTTTAAAAAGTTAGATTTTTGTTGGATACTGAGCAAAACTTACCTTCACAAAGTGTCCAACAGGCCTTCACTGTTTAATATTGGCAAAAACAGAAGAGATATAATAAACACTAGAGCCCCCTAGAGGCAAGAATCCAGAACTGCAGCCATACTAACTATTTGTTAGAAGATGTGCTGTTGAGAGAAAAGTGCAGTTCTGACAATCCACAAACAAATGTAGCTCCCAGAGGAAACTCTCAGAAACATCAGTGACATTATATCAGCTTCATCTGTGTTAATCTGTTAAACTGTGAGGGTCTGTATGAGACCCCACACTTCAACTCCTCACTCTCATTACTACACTATTCTCTCGAAATAGACTGTTCTCCACACGACTAACTCTACAGCAAAGCCAACTCACAGTGATGATGTTACTGCCACTACGCTCTCCTTCTGATGTTATATTGCACAATCATTTCCAAACAGTACCAAAGTGTCCAAAAGCAGAATTCCCCAAAGAGCTGCTCATAATGAGGTGAGATCACTTTTACGTCAATCCAACTCGACATTCGTCATAATTTCACTCTGCTGAGACTCATAAACATTTAGTCTGATGTTTCTGTACTAAATTAGAAAAGACTCTAAAACCCTCCGTGTTTGAAGAGGTTTCTAAAGAAATGTCCGATAGCGGCCGCAGGAGAACGAGGCTGCAGCGTCAGAGAACAGTTAAAAGTCTGAAAGCAGAGTTTAAAGAAGGAGAACCAAAGAAGTGACCGCGCCCTTTTTACGGGTCAAACACATTCTGGGTGATGAGCCCAGCTGTCAGTCAGTGAGGCTTCATGATGCTCCTGTGATGCTGGTGAAGATGAAGCTGATCCTCCGGGAGCGACTGGCGTTCGTTGGCAGTTGTGATTGTTTACCTCTGGATGAGCCGTGAAGCAGCATGACGCTCTGTTCTTTTGCTCTCTGGGTCAGTTTAGGAGCTGATCTGTTCAGACTAACACTTTCACCTGCTGTGTGAACGTAGCCTGTCTGTCCTCAGTAGAGCAGCTGTACTCTATTATAGTCCACTTTACAGGGCGACTGGAATTCACCTGTATATGAACTGTAATCTACTAACTGAAGAAAAATCTGGACACCAGGGGCCAGATTACAGAAAATTCCTAAATCTGAGATCATATCTTATCTACTTTGTTGTCATGGCAACTTCAGTTAAGACTGAAGTTAGGACAGAAGCCATTACATAACAACAGTTCTTAAGTCTATAATCTTCTCTTATTTCCAGATAAGAAAACGGTGTTACAGAAACATCCTAAGTTGCCAAAATATCCTAAATATTTTCTTAACTTTAAGATAAACTCAGAGCGTCTAAACTTCTGTTTAACCTGTTTCTATTGTTTTATGCAGTGACAGGCAGCTCAGTTCACTATAACCAGCACAGTGACGCTACATTTATCTACACTGAAAACGGAGCTTTGACTTGTGAGGGTTTTTCTAACAGCATTTCATGTCAGACGCTGCAGACTCGATCTCCACCGTCCCTCTGATTACCTTCGTGTGTTAATGTTGATGATGAAATATTACAGTGATGGTGGTGAATAATGAGGAGACGGAGCTGAACACGTGTCTGTTTATTAGGAGGAGTAACGTTAGCGCGTTCGGCTAAAGCATTTGGGAAATGGAGACTGAAACTGGAGACGGCGACGCTCTGATAAACAGCAGGGGGCGCTCTCACAGTATACACTACTTACAGTTTATCACACATTAGTTTTATTTGACCTTCTTTACCTTGGTAACGGTAGCTAACATTAGCTGTCTGACTAACTAACTTGATTATGTGTTTAAGTTTCAGTTGTGCACGTATGGTAAGTTGCTAGGCAACAGACACAACTATTGATTGTCAGCTTCAATTGAATCAGTTAAGATTTTCTAGCTTGAGATAAGAAACAATGCTGTAAGATCAGATTCCTAAATTAAGATCAGATTTGCTTCTGTAATACGAATTTGTGAAAAATCATATCTTGGCCTGTCAGATCTTAAGTTAAGATGAAAAGATTTTTTGTGAAAAGTTTTTGTAATTCGGCCCCTGATGTCTTAATTGGTGTATGACATCACTAAAGTGTGGTTCTACAGTTACCATGGCAATGGAACGCATCACAGCTCTAATTCTACTGCAGGGTCTTTTTCTTTGTTCACTGCTCTTCATAATAAGAGCTGTTTGATTTCTGTATATTGTGTATTTGAATACATGAAGTGAGGCCACAGCTCGAAGGAAAAGATGGAGAGCTAGTGTGCCAATGTTAGCATTAGCTTGTGCCCTGTGCAGAAACAGCAAGCCGGCATGTAGCCTGCTGTTTATTTTAGGACCAGGAAAGATGGACCTTTATCACTGGTTAGTTTATGTCACACAGCAATTTCTACGTTTTAAATGTTTTAGGAAGTAAATGTTATTACAGATTTATGAACCACAGTTTCAAACACTGTGCTGGATGATGTGAAGCAGAGTAAGTTGGCTTGTTCAGGGACCAGGGCTGAGAGAGGTACTTTATTCTGGTACAGATTACTGATTACTTATTAAGAAAGTCTCTAACTTAATCCAAAAACGACTATATTAATAAAAAAATACATACATGATACTCATATATCACTTCTGAAGAGCCCAACGACGCTTACAAACACAAAAAACACGGAACACAAACAAACAGGGACGGGGGAAGATGTTTTAAGTTGGAGGTGCTGAAATTTTAAGTTGCTTAAGTCATGTAAAATTATTTGCCTCTTTTATTAGATTTTAAAATTTTATTTACATTTTTTATTAATTTATGAAGGAGACACAAACAGCTGACACATCAAACTCACATCCTCTCTCTGCTCTCTCATTCTGGACAAACTTTATTCAAATGAGCCGAGCTGTGACGAATCATGTCGTTGATGTGTGGTGCAGTAACTGTGTCGTGTCCACAGTCAGACACTGAGATTTAACACTGAAACTCTGAGTGGGAGATATAATGTTGATAAAAACTTCATTATTTTGATACATGATTATTTTTAAGTTCATAAAGCAATATTAGGCTGCTTTGGGGCTCAGAACTATCCGGTAACTATGACTGTCTTCAGCTCACTGTAATAAAAATACAGCGTTCCCTTAAACAGAGCAGGGCGACTGCAGACTTCTAAAATATATAAATACAAACTCCACTCCAAAACAAGCACACATGCATCTTTACTGTGCTCAAATGATCATAAAGTTGCAGCCCTGACATCAGTGTACAAATATAACAGTGTAGTAGTTCTGTCACTGCAGCTTTTGTTCCAGTATCACTTCTTATCTCCATGGTAACCACCTGGGAAATATTAAAGTATTGAGACTGTGTGACGCCGTGACAGAAAATCAGACGCTTGCGGATGAAAAAATGAAGGTGGTTTATTAACCACAAACCATCCGGAAGCAAAAGGGCACAACTCAAATCGAAGTCAAAAACACAGTCCAAAAGTCAAAACACAGATCCGTCAGAACAGTGAAAGTACCAAGGGAAGAGGCAAAAAGTCAAAAACAGAACAAACGAAGCAAAGGTCAAAACACGGAGTATAATCAAACAGGTAAATACCGCTCAGTAGGTTTCTAGGAAACAATACCTCACAAAGATTTCATACTAAAGCCTGGGCTTAAATACTGCTAACTATCTGTCATATGATCATATGCACAGGTGAACATAGTTAGTACTCAGGGGATTGAGAGCGCTGATAGGTTCGGCGGTGAAAGTCCAAAGTCACACAAGACCCCATTTAATTCTGGGCAATGGAGTTCTCTCCGGAGCTGGATTCTGAGTGCGAATGTTCAGTCATGTGATCTCCCAGAGGATTCTGGAGATGAAGTCCGTGTCTTCCATAGAATTGACCGAATGCGTGACAGACTGGTCTCTAAAATCTTTGTGTAACTGATAGCAGAATTGGGAACAGCAGTTTTGAAATGTACATGTTGTAGATTTACAAAGCTTTTAAATTTGAAACTACTGTGTGAAAACACAAAGCATATATGTAACATATTTAGCATGTTTATTACTTTATTACAGAAAAAAGTGACAAGACAGAAACTCTCACTCACATAAGAGTTAAGAAAACATGATAATATTTTACAATTTCAGACCCCAAATCATGAAATAGAAGCTGTAAATAAAATAAAGTAACTTTGATGTGTCCAGAATGATGAACAGAGCTGTAGTACTAAAAGTCTGTAGAACATCAGGAGTGCAATTCTTATAAAATTAACATTACACGTGCTTCATCAAATGATATTCTAATCTTAAGGCACATAACTTGATATATATTAGTCTAAACAGAGAATTACAGTATATGACTTCATTTAATAAACTCTTGTTGATCCCAAAGTACTTGAAATATTGAAAAATGTTGGTGTAGATTTTATAATATTAAAATCATTATATATTATTATATTTATTACATTTGTGCAGGCACAGATTACAGACTTCAACACAATTATCTGTAAATGTTTTCTGTATATTTAAAAGTGTGAAAAGAAATCATCCTGAATAAAAAATACTTTTAATAAGACATTAAAGACATTTATTACATTCGATTCATTCTGATATATACCACATTCCTCCAGTCTGTACTTAATGTTCAAAGGTAACTTAATAAAAAACAGAAAAGCTTTATTCCTTCGCCCAATCAGAGACGAGTACACTGCTATAGTAATAAAGAGCTGGAATATTAAAAGGAGTTGATTTCCCATTAATAGAGGGAAGATTTAACCACTCAGCTGAGTTGAGTCTAAACCTTCCTCAGTTCGACGATCGATTATGTCCATGGCTCTCTTCACCCACTTAAAGCTGGGGTCCACACACACACGAACACCCTTCTTGATGGTAAAACTGCAGTGAAGAAATGATCAGCATCACTGTTTGCAGTGGGTCAAAGTGACAACAGTAAGAGTCAACAGAGAACAGCAGCTTAAAGTAATAATATTAAATATAGAAAACTTACACCACTCCAGCTCTTGAACAGTTGGGGTCAGATTCTTCGTATTTAGTAAGGAGAGATGGATGGATTGGACTGGTATAGAAACTGAAACAGCATTCCGGGGGTGCATTTGCATCTGTGTGAAAATAATATTATGATGAATAAAATGAAGAAGGATGTAGTAAAGAGTGAAGAGGTGATGTAGTGAAGTGAGCTGTAGATGACAGTGTTAGTGAGTGTAATGATGCTACAGCAGGTGAGATCATCTCTAACTTTACTCTTCTTATTAATACTGTGAATAAAGCTGCTGTGTTACAGTCTGTTAGTTCATCCACACATACATTACAGTACACTAGGGGAGCATGAGGAACAACCTCACATGGGGCACAAATTAGCACAGACTTTTTACATTGTTAAAGCAGCGTGAGCTTCTGGCCACATTACCACATTTCCTAGCTGTGGCCTCCCATCGAAGTTCAGAGCAATTCATCAGTGTTTTAAAGAGATCTGAGCCAAAGGGTGTTTTCAGGGCATTTAAGTCATATTTTCTGTTTACTGAGGTGTTTGTATAAAATCACAAAATTCTGCAGGCAGGTCAGTTTAGCGCCTGGACTCTTTTAATACAAAGCAATGCCGCTGTAATACATGCAGAATGTGGTTTGACATTGTCTTGCTGAAATAATCAAGGCCTTCCATGAAAAAGACGTCGTCTGGATGGCAGCATATGTTGCCAAAGTATGTATATATCATTCAGCATTAAAAGTGCCTTTACAGATGTGCACATCACAAATACCATGCGCACTAATGCCCCCATCATGAATACTGGCTTTTGAACTGTGCACTGATACTAAGCTGAGTGGTCTTTAGCCCGGAGGACACAATGTCCATGATTTCCAAAAAGAATTGCAAATGTTGATTTGTCAGACCACAGGACACCTTTCTACTTCCCCTTGGTCCATTTTAAATGAGCTCGGGCCCAGAGAAGGTGGCAGCATTTCTGGATCCTGTTTATATATGGTTTCTTCTTTGCATTTTACAGTTTTATTAGCATTTGTGGATGCAGCGACAAACTGTTTTCAGAAGTGTTTCTGAGCCCATGCAGTGATTTCCACTACAGAATCATGTCTGTTTTTAATGCAGTGCTGCCTGAGGGCCCAAAAATCACGGCCAGTAAATACTGGTTTTCGGCCTCGTCCCTTACATACAGAGATTTCTCCAGATTCTCTGAATCTTTTAACGATATTATGTACCGTAGATGATGAAAAGCAAACGTTCTTTGCTATTTTACGTTGAGAAATGTTATTCTTTAATTGTTGCACTATTTGATCATGCAGTCTTTCACAGAGAGGTGAACCCCTCCTCATCTTTACTTCTGAAAGACTCAGCCTCTGTGAGATGCTCTTTTATTCTGACCTGTTGCCAATTAACCACCAGGTGTTTTTTAGCATTACACAACTGTACCAGCCTTTTTGTTGCCCCCGTCCCAGCTTTTTTGGAACGTGTTGTTAGCATCCATTTTAAAATGGGCAAATATTTTTCAAAAAACAATAAAATTTCTAGTTTTAAAATTTTAATTTGATGTTGTCTTTGTACTATTTTCAGTCAAATATAGGGTTTAAATGATTTGCACATCATTGCATTTTGTTTTTCTGCAACACAACAAATTCTAACAACAAATTCCAAAAAAGTTGGGAGCAATTTACAAGTAAGAATGTTGTGTAATGAACCCTGTTCATCGCTGAATCCACAAATTTAAGTTAAAACTGTATTATACACAGCGGAAACCATGTATAAAGAATGTCCAGAAACACTGCCGATTTCTCTGGGCTCAAGCTCATCTGAAATGGACTGATGCTCATTGGAAAGGTGTATTGTGGGCATCCATGCTTATTTCAACAAAACAGATCAAAGAAACATTGTGCACATTAAAATAACATGGCTGTATTCACAAAAAACAATGGCGTTCATTAACTAAATCATCAAATATTGTGCTTTGTGCCATTTTCAATTTAATACAGATCAAACTGAATTTACTAATCAGTATGTTCTGTTTTTATTAGCATTTCACACACTGTCCCAACCGTTTTGGAATTGGGGTTGAATTTGGGCTCTAACAACAGCATGGCTGACTTTTTACTAGATTGGGGAGAGTCAGATTATCACTTAGAAGCAATAGAGCAGTGTTTTTCCAGGAGCTGTGGTTTTACTGCTAGAGGACTGTTGACAGTCAATTTTTTTACTGCAAAATTTTATTACAATATAAAGACATATAACACAATATTATTGTTGTGATTTGCAAAAATGAAACAATATCTTTAGGTTGCACTCTGCACTGATTGGTCTGGCAAAATGCATGACCGATGTAACAGTTTTAGCAAGCTAGATATGTCTGTATTTTCAGTGCAAATCTAACTGCAAGTTCTATTTGCTTGCATTTTAAACAGTCAGGTCAGATTGAGGTGGACTGATATAAAGGTTGCATGAATTCTGGTTTGGCTGTTTAGATAGAGGTCACACTGCCACATATCAGATACATTTCGGATTTGAGTACTACACATGAAAGTGAATTAAAAATTGTCACATTCCTCATAAAAACTGTAAATCTGTGTCATGTATGAAGAAAAAGATCAGATTTGGACAACTTTACCTGTAGTGTGAAACCAGAAGTGGTGGTCAAGTGGTTAAAGCGCAACTTGGAAGACTTTTAATGTAACTCACAGGTGTGCTGGTCATTTACATACTGAACTCCATTCTGTATTATATGCAGGGCTTATCAGATAGTCATTTTTGGAATTTATGAAAGATCATAAAACAGAAATTCTTGTTCTTACTGCTGAGTTTCCCTGTCCTGCAACTTAACCAAAAGTAATAATTCAAATAAATATAAGTATTAAATTACAAAGCCACCATTGGTTGCAACAGATGCGATTATTCACAAATACAAATGAAGTGTTTTGTTCCAAAAAAAAAACACTTTTTCATTTTCTGTTTTTTTTTATCATGATGTACATAATTGGGTGGGGGCTTCATACATACAACACATATCAGTGCTATAGTATGACTAATACCACCTTTATTAGAGAAATAAAAATGATTTCCATTAAAATTCTGCTGTTCTTCTTTTCAAAAAATATTATATCCAAAAACATAACAAATGCATTTTGGAATAAAACTCTTCATGAATCTGTGCTTTGAAAGAGCCGCAAACCTGAGGATAAACTTACAATCTGCCACTGCACAGAACAGATAGGAGAAGATGATCAGCAGACCCAGGACGAGAGAACGAGGACGGATGCTCATGACTGCAGCTTCAGCTCCAGGAGATCATCGTCAATGATCTGATCTGAACTGTAAAGAGAAGCATGCCATGCAAAAAAAAATCATTAATCAGTTACTCAATAAAGTAACAGCAACAATTCAATCAAACATTTCAGCACAAGTCAGCACAATTAGTAATGGTTGATACTCACTGTACAAAAGCTTCTACACTGTAAATAATTAAAAGTCAGCTCAACTTGAAATTTTAAGTCAATCTTAATTTTTTATCAACTAAGTTTAGTCACTCCAAAATACTTTTAGTACTGCATCTTAGGTTAACAAAACAGTGTAAAGTCGACTGGCAGGAGGCCAGTTTATTTTCACTAGTAATAAAAGAAATAAATTGACTAAAGCACCTTTAACCGAGACAAGATCCAGAGCTGATGGACATATTACCATCTACCTCTATACACCTATATGATAAAGTATATAGTGACACTATATCACTTGCTACATTATACTGACTACACTCCATATATTTGTATTATCGAAAACTGAAATTTCCCCACTTTTTTTGATGTAGTACGTAAACATTGTCACACTTTCAAATGTGTTATTCACTCCCCAGTCCACACATTTCATGTATGCAAACTAAGCTGCAAAAAGATCCTGCTACAATAATCAACACATTTACATACATCCACCTGTTCAGCCTACAGCAGTTTAGCACCACCCACTCACACTGAAGGTATAAGGAGTGTTTCAACCCAGACTGCTTTTTGAATGAGCAGCTAATCAGAATAGAGCTCATTTACATATATCCTTCTTAAAGGAACAGAAACAAAAACATCCTGTTTAATAAAGAGAGGCTGGAAAATAATCATGTAGAAATGAATTCTGACTGTTTTTATATAAAAACTCATACAAATGTTAAAAGTGGACTTGAGGGAGAAAAATAAAATGCAAGAAAATGTAGGATATGAGCTCTTTAATGCTGTGAGATCCTGCCGAAGTTATTACAGGCCTACAGCTCCTCCTCTTTTTCCTACTGAGGAAGGAAAAGAGGGACGAGAAACTGCTGGAGGTTCGCTTCACTTTCACAGCTCACAGTCTAACGGTTCATTATTTACAGAGGTTCATTATTTACAGCTGTTCATTTCTGTATCAGACTCACATTCACACATATAAATGCTGTGAAATCAGCTGGTTTATAGACAGAACTGAACAGAAGCTTCTCAAACTTCTCTAAACAAACACCACACAGTCAGATCCAGACCCTCACACTGCACACAGTTATATAGTTATATAACACACTGATACACAGATAAACAGGATCATAAATCAGCTACAGAGATTAAACAACAAATAACAACAGAGAGATAAACATACATATATAGCTGAGAGTGTTTATGATTGGCTGTCACTCTTATCATGACAGTCTCTGCCAACAGTGACAGTTTATCAAAAAATAATGTACATAACTTACATACATAAAGAATGTAATGATACTTGAGCACATCTGCTGAATGTATCTAGAACCCTTTCAGAGAGGATTACAGCTCAGATGGCTTTTATAAAGTTAGATTTTTGTTGGATACTGAGCAAAACTTACCTTCACAAAGTGTCCAACAGGCCTTCACTGTTTAATGTTGGCAAAAACAGAAGAGATATAATAAACACTAGAGCCCCCTAGGGGCCGGAATTCAGAACTGCACCCACATTATCAATTTCTACTTACATTTCTTCTCAGAACCTAAAGCAAAACGTGTGGACTGCACTGTTCAGTATTTATGTAGTAAACAAGATGATGGGTTGAACTGAAAGTTGTCGGAAGACGTGCTGTTAAGAGGAAAGTTCAGTTCTGACAAACCACAAACAAACGTAGCTCCCAGAGGAAACTCTCAGAAACATCAGAGACATTACATCAGCTTCATCTGTTAAACTGTAAGGGTCTGTATGAGACCCCACACTTCAGCTCCTCCCTCTCATTACTGGCAGCAGTAGCATTAACACTGTGAGTGCTGTAGAGCTACTAGTCTGGAGAACAGTCCGTTGTGAGAGAATAGTGTTATAGGGAACTGAGCTGCCTGACACAGATTTTTCTTCAGTTAGTAGATTACAGTTAATATACAGGTGAATCCACTCACCCTGTAAACTGGACTATAATAGAGTACAGCTGCTCTACTTAGGACAGACAGGCTTTGTTCACACAGTAGTTCACAAATCTGATTTTATCACCCAATCTGATTTTTTTGTTTGGCTGTTCAGATTATCTTTTAAATGTGATCTGTATGTGACAGTCTGAACAGATCAGCTCCTAAACTGACACATAATTGTGCAATATAACACAAAAAAGAGTACAATGGACCAGCATAATGACGCTACATTTATCTACACTGAAAATGGTGCTTTGACCTGTGTTTTTTTTCCAACAGCATTTTTTCAAAACTCAGATGCTGCAGACTCGATCTCCACCATCCCTCTTATTACTTCCATGTGTTAATGATTGATAAAACTCGTCAGATACAATATTACAGTGATGGTGGTGAATAATGAGGAGACGGAGCTGAACGTGTGTCTGTTTATTAGGAGGAGTAACGTTAGCGCGCTCGGCTAAAGCGTTTGGGAAATGGAGACTGAAACTGGGGAGCAGCGCCGCTCTGATAAACAGTAGGGGGCGCTCTCACAGTATTCACCACTTTCAGCATGTAGCTAAACCAGCATGTAGCCTGCTGTCTGTTTTAGGGCCAGGAAAGATGGACCTTTATCACTGGTTAATTAATGTTACACAGCAATTTCTATGTTTTAGGAAGTAAATGTTATTATAGATTTATAAACTACAATTTCAAACACTGTGCTGGATGATGTGAAGCAGAGTAAGTTAGCTTGTTAAGGGACCAGGGCTGAGAGAGGTACTTTACTCTGGTACAGATTACTGATTAACTCAATCCAAACACGACTATATTAATAAAAAAATACATACATGATACTCATATATCACTTCTCATGCTCTCTCATTCTGGACGAACTTTATGCAAATGAGCTGAGCAGTAACCAATCAGGTTGTTGATGTGTGGTGCAGTAACTGTGTCAGGTCCACAGTCAGACACTGAGATTTAACACTGAAACTCTGAGTGGGAGAGATAATGTTGATAAAAACTTCATTTTTCTATAGATGATTATTTTTAAGTTTAAAAGGCAGTATTTGGCTTTGGGACTCATAACATTATCTCTTTGTACGTTGACCTCAGTGTGTTTGACATGACGGCCAACAGTCTTCAGCTCACAGTAATTAAAATACAGCGGTCACTTAAACAAAGCGGCTACTGAAGACTTTTAAAATAAATACAAACCCCTCCCCAAAACAAGCACACAGGAGCCTTTACTGAACGTTTTTTTTTATTATATTATTATATTATTATTATTATTATTGTTAAAGGTTGTAGTCCTGAAATCAGGAGGTGCTGCAGCCCCCCACTTCCCATATCCCCGAAAACAAGAAAACACTACAGAACAGAAGCAGACAACAGAGAAGAAGACAGGGTAGAGCTGTGATGAGAAGGTAGGATTAGTTCAGTGCTAAACTGTAGGCTGGAGAGAAGAGATGAGCTTTGAGGTTAGATTTACAGAGAACTAGACTGCTGGACTTGTGCACGAGGACAACGTTCCAGAGATGAGGAGCAAATCTAGAAAATGTTTGATCGCCGAAACCAAGAAGGTTGGATGGAGGAATGATCAGTAAACCGGCTGATGATGAATGGAGAGTATGAACGAGTTTATAGGGATGGAGTAGTTGTGTTATGACCCAGTCATCAAACTTTATCAAATTTAACCCAACTACTTACTTTAACCAATAACCAGGAGAAAACAAAGAAACAAAAATGTCCTCCGTCCCTAAATGAGGAGGTAAAGACACTGCAGTGTCCAGGCCTCACAGACTTTGATGGAGAACATACAGACTTCAAAGGTAACATCAACACCATCTGAGCTGGAGCTTCTATTAAAGCTTCAACACCATTTGAAACACAGGTTTTACACACCACACTGAAAACCTCAACACCTTGTAAACTATTCCATAACACAGCCATCACGGCCTTAGAGTTAATCTAATGAAGCATGAGCGTTTCTCAGGTTGGTGGTCAGAGAGCCAGGGAACTCTCTCTCACCTCTCGCTTCCACCTGGTCGTAGTCCAGCTTTTATAGATCGAGCCCCCTGCTGGGCTGGAGTCATCATGACACTGCAATATGTGAAAGAAAAGGAAGAAACATCGAAAATCAGACAGAACAAAACATCATGACCCTTAGGGTCGTAACAGTAGGAAGACTGAGGTGGTTTAGAGTTTCGTAACTGAGCAGAAGAATTTTGTAGTGAATGCAGTGCTTTACAGAACAGGTGTAATATGGTTTAGAGAGCAAGTATGAGTGAGAAGATGAGCAGCAGAGTTCTGTAATTAAAGTGATGTAATCTGATTACTTTCCATTCCTTTTAATTCCTAAATAAAGAGGAGAGAAAACAGTTTCAGAAGAAAGACTTTAATCTAACACAAGGCAAACAGAAACACACACATGTAGGTGACGTATAGCTGTTTGAACTTTATATGAGCTGTATGTCCATTTGAAAATATCATTAAATGTTTGGGTGGAGTTAACTGGGTATTGTATGCATGTATGATTTAGAATAAAAGGTATTAAATATTGGACTATTGTGCCTCCTCAGCTTCACATTCCTATGCCATCCTGCAAGGTAAAATTTAATTAAACTACAAATTTGGGAATTCAAAGCTCGGTGAGCTGTTTAGATGTTTCACATGATATTGCCCAGTATGAGTCTATGAGATGGACCTGTGGGCTACTGTTCTCAGTCTGTTTCATTTTATGTGGCAAATGGAAAATAATAATAAAATAATAAAATAAAACTCACATTTTTAATGTATAAAGCCAGAAGTCTACTTCATACTAAACAAAACCAAACTACCCCTAAACACTGTCATGAGTCTCAGCCCTGCTACAAAAATACAACTATTAATGAACTTGTATTTACAGTACAATACAATACTTGTATATTTGTATTTTTCATTTGAAAACTCCAGCTGGCCTACAATGTTAAAACATAATGATGAACTGACCAATAGAAATGCTCCAAAAGTACTTGGAAAATTTGTCACGTTAGCTTCCATTGAAAGTTAAGGATGTGTTTTTCCTTCTCCTGTGAAGTTTTTTGTCTATATGGAATTAGCCAGTCAAACCTTTCTCCCCGACTTGTGTGGTGGAATTTAATATTGGAACATAAAAATATAAGTTGGCATACACAAAAAATCTGGCAGTATGTCGCTGTTGTCAGAAGAAACCTTGTATCTCCATTTTTGTTGTTTTTCAGTTTATGACCAAATTTGAAAATACCTGTTGTCCTTTACATTGTGTGTAAATTTCATGATGAACAGACCAGCAGAAATGACCCAAAATGACTTGGAATAATGTCTGGTTACATTGACTTACATTAAAAGTAAAGTAGGTTTATTCCTTCTCCTGTAAAGTTACCAATTTGGAGATACAAGATTTTCGTCCGACAACAGCAAAATGAAAAAACTGCATATATGTCCAACTGTGTCACTGGTGTCCCTGTGTTTGTGTTCCAAGAGGGAAAGAAACTAAGGAGATTTGGGGTTTAAGCTTCAGATTTGGCAGAACAAGATGAGCTCAGCTGGGTCAGGATTCAAATTTTTGGGTGCAGGTTGGGTTTGGGCTTCACTTTCATCTTCAGGTGGATCTGTAGCTGGATCAGATCTCAAAGTCTCTCTTACTGGCCAGGTTTGGGCTTCAGTTTCATGATGTTCATGCAGATCTGTTGTTGATTTGGACCTCAAGGTCTTAAGTGCAGGTTGGGTTTGGGCCTCATTTTTATGCCTGCGAAGTACAATTGTTCTCATGGCGCGTTGAACCCACTCAAGGTCGGGATCTACACAGAAATCACTGCTCCGAGTGGTAAAGCTGCAGAAAAGAGAAGATTTGTGTTTAACTGTAATGTTTAACTACAATGTAAAAAAAAAGACTACTAAATTTGATTTAAAACTATACTTCAAATATTGTGCATAATTAAATGGTTAAGATGTAAACAGAGTCATTCAGAGTGGTTTGGTGTGAAACGCTCTGTTGTAGAGAAACTTACTGAGTCAGAACTGTTCACAGTGGTGGTGATAGGAACCAGACGTCCACCTCTAAAAGCTCCTTCACAGAAAGTTACTACATGAAATGGTTATGAATTCACTGCCTGATGACTGAGACATTGTTGTATAGTTCTGAAAAGAGTTTGGCCTAAAATATGTTTTTTTTTTTTCCCTTCATGGTGGAGAGATTTTCCACTATTTTCCATCATCACCATTCCATATAAACTCAGAAGACTCGTGTAGGTTCACTGGTGGTTCTGGATAGTAAATAAAACGTCTATATTTGTGTTGTAGTCATGGCGACCCCTGGTTCCTATCACCACCACTGTAAAGGCATCTGAACCATTTCACACCAAACCACTCTGAATCACTCTGTTTATATCTCACATAGAGTAATAGAGGAATTTTGAAAAAATTGGTGGAATTCTCCTTCAATACGGATGAAGAGTGGAAACTTACATGACTGCAGATTTTGGACAGCGAGTGTCTGTTATTTTGTAGTCTGTAATGTGTCTTAGTGGGATTTTAAATGTAGTGGTCCTGATACAGCATTCTGGTGCAAACAAATCTGTGTGAAATAATAATAATGACATTAACCCTCCTGTTATCCTCAAATTTACCAGCATCTTTAATCAGTGGGGTCAAAGTGACCACGGAAATTTAAACCAAAGTTCTGGTGGGAATTCTGTGTTCCCATTTTCCCCCATGTCGTGTGAAATATCACTGGTTCTTGCACAACTACAGCTATGTTTATGTTAGGTTAAAGCCTTAAAGCAGAAGGAAGTTTTTCGGAGATTACAGAATTGCATGTTATAGCAACCTCAATATCATCCAAAACAAATGTGTGTAAAACGTTGATTATTTCTTATGTTCTACAGAGCTAAGTAAGCCTGGGGTCAAACTGACCCTGGAGAACAGTGATGCATACAAAAATATGTAAAGAACATTGAAAACATATCATGTCAATTTCATGTTTACCCAGTGGTCTCCATTAATTTATGAAAAGTCATTAAATATGAAGAAAAAACCTGATGTTAATCAATTATTTACAGACGTTAAACACTGAATGGGGTCAAATTGACCCCAACCATAACAGGAGGGTTAAAGGATGTAGTAAACTCAAGTTCAGATTAGTAAGAGGTATTAGTTGAAATAAGGATAGAAAAATGAGCTGCACTACAAAAAAAACAGTAATACTTTCTATGAATATCACCTTTGTAAGCATCTATAACCACATTTATAACATGTTATAATGTATTCATAAGGCATTATAAACATGGTTATAAATATTTATAGAAAAGAATTACACTGAACTACACTTTATAGCCATGTTTATGATACACTATGAATTGTTAATATAATGCATTATAACTAGTGTTAATAACATGTTATAATGTCAGTGCCAAAGAAGTCAGTCCCAGCTTGGAGAGCGTAAAGTAAAGACAAATACCAAGCTAACGGTGGTGAACATTACCTTTCCCACATTGGGTAAAACACTGATGGCAGCACTAGTTTAAACTCTGACATTTGAAGCCTGTAATGTGCTTTACTGTGAATGTTTTAGTGTTTCAGTAAATCCTTCAGTAAATACTTCAACTTGAAGCCTCACTCTGAACACTGGAGGAGGCTTTAGTACAGTACGCTTCACTTTACTTAGAGCGGACAAATACGACTTATGAGCTCTTATCGTTTGTTATGATCAGTACTTATAATGTATTATGTTAACAATTCATAATGCATAATAAACATGGCTATAATGTATAATGCATTTTTATAAATATTTATAGCTATGTTTATAATGTCTTATGCATGCATTATAACATGTTATGAATGTGTTTATAGATGCTTACAAAGGTGACATTCATAGAAAGTGTTACCATAAAAACATAGTAAGACATGAGGAGAAAAACAAAATCATATAATAAAACTTCTGCAAATGAAATCAAGTCCAGTTGTAGATTGAGATCACATTTATTCAGTAGCAGGAAGGGGGGCTTTGTTATTTTTGTTTGTTTAAAGCTGCACTATGTAAGATGATGTAGCTGAAGCTGAAAGCAGTATCATTACTGAGTGAGGAGAGTAAAAACAGGCTAAATTATGATGAGTGTGAGCTGCTGTGAGTCGCCCTGTAAAGCCTGAAATAATCATTTAGAAGTCTCAGTTTTTTGGATTATCAAACTTTTTAATAATGGACCCTTCCAACACGCAGACTCTAAAAGAAGGTCCGCTCGATGTTTGGGGAAGAAGCACACCCCGCACTACAAAATATTCATCTGTCATTTTTGACTCCCTGAAGCTGCCTCCCTGCCTTTACTGAGTCACACCCTCACAATATCAAAATGAGTAAAATAGTAAACAGAAAAATACTGAATTTATGCCTAGTGAATACATTAACTCCCCAAATCTGAGCGGTGATGTGTCCTTTCATCACAATTTCTATGTGAAATCTCTTCATGCAAATGGAAAAATTCATGAAACAGTCCTACCTCTGTTCTTCAAAGAGGAGTCTATCTTAAAGGTCAGAGCTCCAACCTGAGTTCTCAGAGTTTTACTCCTCCTACTGTCATACAGTCTCTTCTCATCTGTTCAAGTCATGGTCTGAACTAGTAGATATTTACTTAGGCTCTGATGTCATACAGCACAGGTGCTAAAATGCTTAAAGAGAGTCAGTCATCATGGGTGATGACTGGTTATGAAACAGATAAGCTAATATTACTGGCATTCATTGGGTGAAGAGAGACTTCTCTGTAATTTGTTTTACCCTCTTGCCTAAGAAACCCTGCTGCAGGGCCTCTTGCTGGAACACTAAGCAAAGACTCAAAGGTGAGCTGTAAAGTCTGTATCCGAATAGCAGTGTTTACATCAGACAAAAAAATAAATAAATAAATAAATAAAATGTGTATATATATATATATATATATATATGCCAACTTACTTAATTATCATACTCAGTTAATTAGTGAGTGATTTACAGTGGTGGACAGTAATAAAGTAAGTGTAATTCATTAAAGTACTTAAATAGTTTTCTCGTGTATCTGTACTGAAATATTTTCATTTTGGGCGACTTTTTACTTTTACTCCACCACATTTCGAAGTCAAATATCTTTCTTTTCACTCCACACCAATCAGGGCACAGCGGTCACTTTGTTTTGAGTTTGTTTTGACCTTTTGGTCATACCGACCCAGTGCAGCACACAGTTCAACATCAGTGCAGCAGCATAAAATTTTGGGAATTGATGATGAACTGACCTAACTTTGTGTAAATAGACCACAATATAGAAATATGTACTCATATGCAGTTGTGACTGACGTGTCTTTATTCTGAATTTACACAAACGCATTTCATTTTATAGTAAATTAGTTTAGTCTGGTTTATGTTTATGAACAGAGACCTACAGACGCAGTTTAGTAAAGGAAACTCATTTGTGAATCTGAGTTTAAAGTTTTTATTAAACTTAAACTTGTAACTAAGTTCAAATAAATCTTAAACTGAAACTTTGCTTGTTTGTAAAAAGTGATTTCAGAGCCACTCAGTTCTACCTGATGGAAACTGTTTGCCTTCAGTGTTTTGTGCTTATGATCATTTTAATAGACATCAGCGTCACTAATTAATGACCTTCTATTAAAAGACTGGTTTACCAAGAGTGACACTGGAGTATTTTCACCTAAAATGAGTTAATGAAGCGAGTCTTGTTACAAAAATGATAATAGGACATCAGAGCCATAATTAATCTTTTAGTACTTTCACTTTTGATACTTAAGTACATTTGAAGGCAAATACTTTTGTACTTTTACTCAAGTGGAGGTCTAAAGGGAGGAACTTCTACTGTAACTGGAGTAATATTTTACCTTGGGTATCTCTACTTTAACTCAAGTACATGGTTTGTGTACTTTGTCCACCACTGGTGAATTAAGAAGCGTTTAAACATGTAATTCATTTGATTACAATAAAGACATTGGAATTAATTCCCATAAACAGGTTAGCAGCATGAAAGAGCCAAAAACTTGAGGATGAATGTTAACTTACTTTGTCCCACTGCACAGGACTGAGGATAGAGGATGATTAGCAGAACCAGGAGGAGAGAACGAGGACAGATGCTCATGACTGCAGCTTCAGTTCCAGGAGATGATCTTCAGTGATCTGAACAGCCTGTGATGAGATCGGTTTCATCTTTATCAGCAGGTGGGAGGGTAGTGGGTGTATAATGTAGCTTAAAAGCTAAAAAAAAACCCTGCTTCTACCGGAAACACCTCTGTGGTTAATATGTGAGTTAAGACCAAAGAATAAAGAAACCATACAATAAATAAAGATAAAGATAAATCAAGATACAGCTACAGATTCATTTCTCTTATTTCTCACCCTGTAGTTCTATACATTCTAAAAGTCCGAGCATTTTGTTGAAACTGATGTGTGTTTAAAAAGACAATTAATATGTAAGAATTTTGTTTCTCTGTCCCCTTTTCTGATCCAACCTTGACCTCAGTCAGTCTGCTTCTTCTCACACGGAGGTGTGAAAGTAACAGGAAATGACACCTGAACAAGATGTGGCTGCAGGTCACGATGTTTTGTCCTGACAGACAGACATATGGTGATTAATTTAATGAACTTGGTGTGCTTGTAGAGCAGCTTTGTGCAAAAAAGATTCTCCTTTTAAGAAAATCCACAGAATTTCCTTTCAAAGTGATGTGCATCCAGCATAGAACTTCAGTCGGGCCTGAAATCTTTAATTTTCTGTCCTTTTGGATGATATTAAGTTAAATGAGCCCACTTTACTAGCTAAATGCTAGGGGTCTAGGGTCTAACTACAAGAGTAGGGAGAGGTGACACAACTATCTTTTAACTCTTGTTTGTATGGTTATTGAGCAGTGAGATTGAACTTCAGGAGCCGACAAGGCCAAAACAACAAACAAAACACACGATTAGCTAGAGAGAGACAGAGAGAGAAGGGCAGGGGTCCTGTACATCTGACATAAAGCTAACACAGCGTTCCCCAATAGGAACTTCATACCAACAGTGAAACATGGTGGTGGTAGTGTTCAGTGTCCAGTTCAGAGTAGAGCAAACAAAAATAAACAAACATAAAAATAAAAACAGAATACTATTTTATGGTTAAGTGAAGCAAAAGCTACTTTTATATTTAAATTAAATACTTATATTTAAATATATATTTATATTTTAAAATTAGGCACCGTATCTACTACATGTACTGTAGTAAGGCATCTTATCTACTACATGTACTGTAGTCTACTTATTGCCAAAACGTGTGTTGTTAAGGGTGCCTGACACCCGACCCACAAAAAGCCCTCTGTGGTTAAAAGGAAGAAGACAAAGAAGAAAAGCTCTTCTTCTACTGAAAAGCCTCTGTGGTTAACACCTAAAATGAGTCTAATTGTGCACACATATACAGCGTGAGCCAATACAGAGAACTGGACAAAAAATGTAAGCATTTTTCTTAGAAGTGTAAATTTAGTGGTTATGGTTTTGGACAGACACCTCCAAATAAAAAGCACTCAATAAATTATGATTTTATGTACACTATATTGCCAAAAGTATTTGCTCGTCTGCCTTCACACGCATATAAACTTGAGTGACATCCCATTCTTAATCCATAGGGTTTAATATGATGTCAGCCCACCCTTTGCAGCTATAACAGCTTCAACTCTTCTGGGAAGGCTTTCCACAAGGTTTAGGAATGTGTTTATGGGAATTTTCTGACCATTCTTCCAGAAGCGTATTTGTGAGGTCAGACACTGATGTTGGACGAGAAGGCCTGGCTCGCAGTCTCCGCTCTAATTCATCCCAAAGGTGTTCTATTTGGTTGAGGTCAGGACTCTGTGCAGGCCAGTCAAGTTCTTCCACCCCAAACTCGCTCATCCATGTCTTTATGGACCTTGCTTTGTGCACTGGTGCGCAGTCATGTTGGAACAGGAAGGGGCCAAACTCCCCAAACTGTTCCCACAAAGTTGGGACCATGAAATTGTCCAAAATCTCTTGGTCTGCTGAAGCATTAAGAGTTCCTTTCACGGGAACTAAGGGGCCGAGCCCAACTCCTGAACAACAACCCCACACCATAATCCCCCTCCACCAGACTGTACACTTGGCACAATGCAGTCAGACAAGTACCGTTCTCCTGGCAACTGCCAAACCCAGACTCGTCCATCAGATTGCCAGAGGGAGAAGCGTGATTCGTCACTCCAGAGAACACGTCTCCACTGCTCTAGAGTCCAGTGGCGGCGTTTTACACCACTGCATTCGACGCTTTGCATTGCGCTTGGTGATGTAAGGCTTGGATGCAGCTGCTCGGCCACGGAAACCCATTCCATGAAGCTCTCTACGCTGTTCTTGAGCTGATCTGAAGGCCACATGAAGTTTGGAGGTCTGTAGCGATTGACTCTGCAGAAAGTTGCCGACCTCTGCGCACTATGCACCTCAGCATCCGCTGACCCCGCTCTGTCATTTTACGTGGCCGACCACTTCATGGCTGAGTTGCTGTTGTTCCCAATCGCTTCCACTTTGTTATAATACCACTGACAGCTGACTGTTGAATATTTAGTAGCGAGGAAATTTCACGACTGGACTTGTTGCACAGATGGCATCCTATCACGGTACCACGCTGGAGTTCACTGAGCTCCTGAGAGCGACTCATTCTGAGCGACTCTATCTAAGATCTGAATACTTTACTGTTTTTAATAGTTTTTACTGTGGGACTGCAGTTTGAAATTCGGTGGAATGGTCCATATAGAAAATGAAAACAGCATAACAGAGTTGGAAACTTTGGCAGGTAGTGTTGAGGTAGTAAATACTTCTTGCAGGATGTAATAGGATTATGTTTCTTATTACATCCTGAAAAAGTAGTCTCACTAATCTTTACTTCACTGCTACATTACTCTCTAAACCTGCTTTTGCCAGCTGTACAAGAGAAAACCACCTGTTCTTTCAGTAATTTATTCTGAGTGCTGCTCATATCTAGAGTCAATGTCACATTGTCAACTGTTCACAAATTCTGTACAAACACAGAAAATGCAGAGATCATATACATGAAATGATTTGTGCATAGTTTTTATGTTAACCTGGCATTGCAGTCATTTCAACTGTAACGCGTTGCATTAATTGTTGCAGGAAAACCTGTTCACAATCTTAAAATGAGAATATGTGGACAAATCATTTGCTGATTTGCTGCTAAGACCATTAAAAGCTTAAATGCACAGGAATCTACTACAAGTCAGTAAAAAGCAGCAGTTGCAAACTAGACCTGGGACAGCTCATCAGTCAGCACTGCTTCTCTCAAAATGACTTCATTACTGTGAGATAAACATTTGACATTACTAAATAGATCAATATAAACATAGACTTTGTGTTTTTTGAGCCACATGGTGACTGATTCTTCTCTTAAAGCTTGTATTTGTAAAGCGTCTTTCTCTGTCATCTCTGCATGTGTCTGTTTTTTCCCTGACACCAACTAGAGTTTCATTTTCTCACCAGCAGAGGGAGCCACCTGTTTATCTGTTTGTGATGCACAAGTACAGTGGAAATGATGGTATGATGGTAATTAAATGTGGATGTTAATTAAATGTAGCTGTTAATTAAGGTATATCTCACAGTGAAAGGTCTTATATGATGTATCTGATGAAGAGATTTAATCTCCAGTGAAAACAGCTCCTCTGATGTTTGGGACGTTTCTGTACACGTTCAGAGTTTAAAGGCCAGCGTACATCGACTGGACCAACACAGACCAACACAAACACACACAGGCGTCTGGTTGATACACTGTACCAGTGTTTGGTAGTTAACAGACTCTAGAAAGTTCTCTCTTTGCTCTCTCTGTTTATTTTTGGCTTTTCAGTTCCTTTTCTGGACATTCTAAGAACAACTGCAGACATTCGAAAGTTCCTGTTTGTTCGTGTTTGTCCTCTCACTGTACTCTGGCCTCTTTCCATCAGTGTCCATAATCTAAAGGTACATTCTTAAAAAAGATGAGTCTTTAAGGGTTGTAGATGGTTCTACATAGAAGCTTTTTGAAAAGGGTTCTATATAGCACCAAAAAGGGTTTTGCTATTGTTACGATACCAAGCTTGCTACAATGGAAGAACCCTTTTGGGTGCTATCTAGAGCCATTTTCAAAAAGGAGTTGCAGTTTGTTTGTCTGTGTTTGTCCAGTCAGTGTACTCTGGCCTTTGAACTTTAAGCATTTAATCAGGATTTAGAGCTTCAGCTCTGTCTGTACTTTAACTCTGAGCTACTGTTCATGAAGCAGCCCTGAGTCAGAGGACTGATCTCAGAGTGAATGAGGTGTTAATGCACATGTTACACAGCTCAGCTCCAATGTAAGGTTTCTCAACTCTGGGGCTGCAGACCACAAGTGGTCCAAGAAGTGTCTACTGATGATCCTTGGCCCTATACTGAGGGGAGCCAGGGGGACAATAGAGGGCCAGTGATAGCACTTTGTCATATGTGGCAAAAATCAATGGAAAAAGAATTTACTTGATAATAAGAAAGATAAAACGTAAACAATATTAACCATATGAACATATTACCATTATTATTATTATTATTATTATTATTATGTAAAACAAATGTGAACATACAATTTTCATTCTTTTTTCCCTTTTCATTGTATTAAAAAAGGTTTCTAGCGATAAACAGGTGGGCCTGGAGGTGGAAAACAATGAACCAGTGCTTTGGCTCTGACAGGCCAAATTGGCCTTGTACACAGATATATTCAGTCTTTTAGTGTGTTTACCTCAAGTCCCTCACTGTAGGCTATGTTTTTCCAAAAAAACAGTTATGGTGGTGATGTGCCCATCAGTGCGGTCAGCAGGATATGATCACAGCCGCAATGATCCAATGAGCCTTAAACGTGAGCACGGCCTATGGCAATATAAACACATACAGACACCAAGGTGCAACATGCTGAGGGGCCTTGGAAGTCAGGAGCTCCCTAATTAACCTCTTGAACCCACTGAATGTCTTTTTTTTTCCAAAAAGTTCTACATAGAACCACATACCATACATTCTCCATCAATCTGAAGAACCATTTCACCATCAAATAACCATTTAAGCATGTAAGGGTTTTTTTTTCGCAGTGTTCTTAGCTGTTGTCGGAACAAAATCTTGTATCTTGTATCCAAAATGGAGAAGGAAAGGGAGAA